GATGTGCTTTTAAATATTTATTTTAGTTTTTTGGAATAAAAATATTATTTATGTAATTTAGTTGATTCAAATTAAAAAAAAAATTAAAAAAATGGTAAGAAACAACCAAATTTAGTAATAAAAAAACGTTGACAATTGTTATTATTATTATTGGAAAATATTTAAGAATGGGTAGTTGGAGAATAAAATAAAACAGAATGGGCCCACATAACATGCAAGGACCCATTAAACTGTCGTTGAAACCCAATAAAACTTCCAGACTCGACAATTCGTTTATACCCATCGAAATCCAGTAAAACTTCTAGACTCGACCACCCGTTTGTACCATCAAAACCCAACAAAACTCTCACACTCAACAACTCGTTTATACCCATTGAAATCTAACAAAATTCTCCGACTCAATGACTTAGTTATACCCACTGAAACCCCGTTGAAATCTAACAAAATTCTCAGACTCAATGACTTAGTTATGCCCACTGAAACCCAATAAAACTCCCAGACTCGACAACTGGTTTATACCTATCCAAACTTGACAACTTGTTTATGTCTATGGAAACTCAACAAAACTCTTAGACTCGACTATTCGTTTGTACCCATCGAAACTCAACAAAACTCCCAGACTCGATAACTCGTTTATACCCATCCGAACTTGACAACTTATTTAATACCCATCAAAACCCAACAAAACTCTCATACTCGACAATTCGTTTGTGCCCATTGAAACCCAACAAAACTCCCGACAACTCGTTTATACCCATCCAAACTTGACAACTCGTTTATACCTATCGACACCCAACAAAACTCTCAACTCGACAGTTCATTTGAGCTCATTGAAACCCAACAAAACTCTTGGACTCGACAATTCGTTTGTGCCCATCAAAACCCAACAAAACTCTCAGACTCGACAATTCATTTGTGCCCATCAAAACCCAACAAAACTCCCAGACTCGACAACTCGTTTATACCCATCCAAACTTGACAACTCGTTTATACCCATCGAAACCCAACAAAACTCTCAGACTTGACAATTTGTTTGTACCCATCGAAATCCAACAAAACTCCCAGACTCGACAACTCGTTTATACCCATTAAAATCTAACAAAACTTCCAGACTCGACAACTCGTTTATACCCATCGAAACCCTGAAGCGCTAACAAGTTGGTAACGTTAATGAAGAATATTATCATTATTTTCTAAGCAAAGAAACAACCAAACTAACATGCTCCACCTCTCTAGTATCAGCCACCATGATTTCTTCAAATCTCTTAAACAATGGCTCTATAATATCTCCTCCAAAATGGGCTCTTATCATACATTCATTCACAGCTTGAATGGCCTTCGCCATTTGTTGGGTTGTCTTTGATCGTTCAGTGCTTTCCCCATCTCTATTCACACCATCCCATGCCAAAGCAATTATCTCCAAATTCTCTATTTTGAAGGACCCTTCTTCCTCTATCTCCCTTCTCACATCCTCCACATATGGTTCATAATAAGGAGTGTTGTAGCTCTCTACTTTCTCCTCCTCAATAAGCCCCTAAATAAGTATATAAATAATTTGGGTTACCTGACTAAGAAAATTATCTTATTTCGGTTCCTCAAGTTTCTAAACATGTCTAATAAGTCTCTAAACATGTCTAATAAGTCTCTAAACTTTCAATTTTCTATATTTAATAAAGACCCTCTTAATACAAAATTGAAAGTTTTAACGAAAAAATTTGGTACATAATTGAACATCAAAGGAGTAGTTATTTGGTGTTTTAAAAAGTTCAGTAACCAAATGAACATAAAAACCTGAAAGATCAAGGACGACTATCTAAGACAACCACAGAGAGACTGGGACATTGGCACCCCTCCTTCTGTTGTTCGACCTACCTCTGGTGCAAGAATAAGTGTGATATCCCACATCGGTTGGGGAGGAGAATGAAACACCCTTTATATGGGTGTGAAAACCTTTCCCTAGTAGATGCATTTTAAAGTTTTGAGAAGAAGCCCGAAAAGGAAAGCCCAAAGAGGGCAATATTTGCTAGCGGTGGGCTTCGGCCGTTACAAATGGTATAAGAGCCAGACACCAAGTGATGTGTCAGCGAGCGTAGAGGCTGTTCCCCAAAGGGGGGTAGACAAGAGGCCGTGTGTCAGTAAGAATGCTGGCCCTGAAGGGGGGTGGATTGTGATATCCCACGTCGGTTGCGTCGGTTGGAGAGGAGAACGGAACACCTATAAAGGTGTGGAAACCTGGATGCTGGCCCTGAAGAGGGTGAATTGTGATATCCCACATCGGTTGGGGAGGAGAACGGAACACCTATAAAGGTGTGGAAACCTTTCCCTAGTAGATACATTTTAAAGACTCGAGAGAAAGCTCGAAAAGAAAAGTCTAAGAGGACAATATCTAATAACCGTGGGCACTTGGATTGTTATAATAAGTCTCGAAATTATAAAGATGATGGGTTGAATATATATAATATATAGATATACCTCATGTACCAAAGCTTGGAAGGCTAGTCCCAAGTAATCCCAAAGAAGGCAAGTTTCATCAGGGCATGGATCTGGCTGCCTTCTTCCTCTGAAAGTTAAAACCATTCTCCCTCCACACACCACTTCTTTTGATCTTGACTTCAAAAAACAACTGAAATCCTTCTTGAACTGACCATAATATGCTTCTATTACTTCACTTGGGCTTGTCTTTGATATGAAAATCTTCCCTTTGTTCCTTATTCCCTTCCCTTTCTCACTCAGCTCTTCAGGTACCTGTTTTCAACTTTCATGTTTCATTCATTCATCAATGCTTGTTTCTTGTTTCTGTTCGGTTTGATATACGGAAGGAAGGTTACAATATAAGTTTAACCCCTAAATTTTGAGATTTTGATGTACTGTTATACAGTACAAGCCCATCACTACTAGTAGACATTGTGCTTTTTGGATTCTTCCTTTTGAACTTTCTTTCAAAATTTTAAAATGCTTCTACTTGGGAGAGCTTTCCACACTTTTATAAAAAATGCTTTATACCCTCTCCAACCAACATGGGATTTCACAATAGGATAGTGAGTCGTGTGCCAGCAAGGATGCTGCGCTCTCTGAAGCAGGTGGATTGTGAGATCTCACGTCAATTAGAGAGAGGAACGAGTGCTAGCAAGAACACTCGCCCCGAAAAGAGGTGGATTATAAGATCCCACATCGGTTAGAGAACAAATCATCTTTTATATAGGCGTGGAAACATCTCTGTTTTAAAACCTTGAAGGAAAGTTATAAGTAAAAGCCCAAACCAGAGAATAGTTACCAACAATTTGGTCACCAAGTACATTCAAAAGTGTTTAAGAGTGTAAAATTCAAATGGCTTCCAAATATTTATTTTAATCTTTAAATTTCAAATTTAAATTTATTTTGTGTTAATTACATGAATGTAAACTATTATGAAGATTTGAATAGAGACTAACCTGAGAAAGCCAATGGAGACTGGAAGAAGAATGCACAAAATGAAGACTGTTAGAAGCAAACAATCTTCCATAGAAAGATCCTGGAACTCCAGCGACGAAACACCCATCCATAGCCGACGATCCACCGTTCTTCTTGTTCGACAATCCCCTGAAAACAGAGTTGAAATCGTTCTCCGCCAGATCGTTCAAAAACACAGTCAACTCCGGCGCTTCACCGCCGCAACAGCCGCGGATCACGCCGACGATCTCGGAGATCGCGAAGAGCGCGTTCGGTCCTGAAGAGCAGCCGAGGTCGGCAACGGCAATGGCGGATGGCAAATCGGCCGCGCATAACGCGGCAATGGCGCGGCGGAGCAGAGGCCGGGATCCGGACTGGTATTTGCTCTGTGAGATTGAGTTTGTGGCGTAGCTTTGGTCGCCGATTCCTTGGTTCATTGTGAGAATTTTTGGCGCTTCCGAATTCTGGATTTCCGCCATTGATTTGAAACTCTATGCTATGTAGTGATTATCGAGTTTCTCTTATTTAATCTCTCCCTTAAGTATTGATCATTGACTTATAAAACATGGATGATGTCTATAAATTATTTATCATCATATTTTTATAATTAAATTTAAAAAAGACAAACCGGTTGTTCGGTTGTTTGTGACTCGAGTTTATCTATAAAAATGCATTTCGTTAATCTTATAAAAATGCTGATCTAGCCTCGACAATATATATTTTAATCAATTCAATTATTATTATAATTTTAAAATATTGTTTAGAACGTAGAGTTGATTACACCAAACAATTATGATAATTGAAAATATAAACATATAACACGAAACCATTAATTTACTTGTAAATTTGCCTCTCTTTTCATTATTGACTTAAAAAAGCTTAATTTTCTCATTTTTCTCTTGGAATTATCTTAAAGAATTATCTTAAAGATAAAAGATGCTTGCTTTGACTTCTACTTAATTAAATAAATATTTAATTATGTATGACGTAGTATATTCTTCACTAAACTATATTACTACTTTAATCGAACTTAAAAAAAAAAAAATTAGACTTTAAATAATAAGGATAAAATTATAATAGAAAACTCCACTAATTCGAATTCCTCTATCCAAACTATGAAAGTAGGATTAGATCGCAAAAGAGAGATTTTCGAGCCTGCAAGCTGCAAGCAACGGTGGAAAAGCCGTTGCAGCTAGCTTGTAGTTTAGGGGTGTCGTAGGGATGCCTTTTTCGAAAACGGATATTGTTTCTAAGGTCAACTTTTTGGAACCCTAGTTTTGGAGTTTTCCCCGACCTATATCCTTACTAATAAATAAAAACAAAAAGGAGCTTACATTTTTCAGCTGCATTGCGTGCATAAACAATAATCCACTCACTAACCTAATCGAATAAAAAATGACCCAATCTAACTAAAAAATAGAGGGTTGAGTTGAACTGTGAACTCTATTCAAAGTTGTTCGAGTCACCAATCCAACCAACCCAGAATTTTGAGTTGGTTCAAAAGAAATTTCCTACCTACCTCGACTTGTGTGCACCCTAATTCCAACGGGCTCGAAAGGAAGATGGCTAAAGTCTCATTCCCTAAAACCATAAGATAATATATATAGCAAATCTCTATAAAGGAAACTCAATTTGGTGTTCATTGGGTGCATGAAGCTGACTGCAATGCTTCAATGGTGGGTCCAATTCCATGACAATCTTTCCAGGTTCGAAGTTTAAGCACATTGCAAAAGATATAAACTTAACCAGACCAAGTCGGTGAGTACTACAAGAGAAGTGATCATGTTTCCTTCGGCCGGGACTTCTTGGCAGCCTCTGCCGCTGCTTTTTCTGCTTCAATCTCAGCAACAATGGCATCAATTTCAGCTTCCTCCAATTGTTTCAACCCATGTTCCTTTGTCATCACAGCAACCTCTATGTTCTTTCCTCCGCTCTCGACAACCTACAAATTGAGTCGAGTCGATGGAAGTAAATCGCCAAGTACCACAGATAAACATTCAAGAAATTCACTTAACTCGTTTGGTATATTTATGGCAATACCTCTGAAGAATGAAGGAATAATTGTAAACTCGAATATGTTAACTTAGGACATTAAATCACGAACCAATATTCATAACGGCCGTTGGCTCGATTACTCGAGATCAGCTAAATTAACCAAGAAGAGGTCAATGCAAAGCAATAGTTATATCTATTTTGGCATTTCTAGTTGTTTGGATTTGGAAGGTGTTTTTGTACTCATTTTTTAAGGTTGTTTCTTTTTTTTGGGGGTGTGTTCTCAATTCTCAAAGTGACCTATTTTTTCCAAAACCTTATGGAATTGTTTCTAAAATGACTTTTCCATTTGCCGTCTAATGTTTTAAGCCCTATGAAGATTAAACAATGATCCAAAGAAGCTTTTGTGTAAAGGAATAACCAGTTACACCAAAGGATCAAATTGGTTCTTAGGGTAAGGAATAACCCGTTACACCAAAGAATGTGCGCAGTATAGCAAGAAATGTCCAAATCCTTAAGTGCCCTTAAGTGCTTAGTAACCGAATCATTCATTTTTTCTTCGATGAATGAACCATGGATGAAAGTACAGAGGAAAGTTCAAAGGAGAGCCACAAAAACAAAAATCAGCCCAACCAAGAGAGGGAATACCAAAAAGCATGCAAGCTATGTGCCTACCATTAAGCATTAGTCATATGATACAACCACAACTTATTTTCCATTTTGTACATTGAATCACGAACCTCCACAATGGTATAATATTGTTCACTTTGAGCATAAACTATCATACCTTTTCTTTTGGTTTTCCCAGAAGGCCTCATACCAATGGAGATAGTATTCCTTACTTATAAATTCGTGATCTTCTCCTTAATTAGCCAATGTGGGACTCCCTCCCAACAATCCTCCCTCGAACAAAGTACACCATAGAGCCTCCCTTGAGGCCTATGGAGCCCTCGAACAGTCTCCCCTTAATCGAGGCTTGACTCCTTCTCTCGAGCCCTCGAATAAAGTACACCCTTTGTTCGATACTTAGTCACTTTGACTATACCTTCGAGGCTCACAACTTCTTTGTTCGACATTTTTGTTCGACATTTGAGAATTCTATTGACATGACTAAGTTTGAGGATTCTATTGACATGACTAAGTTAAAGGCATGACTTTGATACCAAATGTTGTGAACACACACAAACTAACTCAAAATGAAACACTGAAATCAATTGCATTGAAAAACAAAACAACTTAGCGACTTTTATAGGCGTTACAAACAAATGAAGTTTGTAAAAATTATAAACTCTAAAAATAATAAATTAACAACCCACTAAATGATTTAATGGTCTTAACATCCCTAAAGAAATGGTCTAATCTAACCATTTCAACCCTAAAGAAACGGTCTAATATGACTATCTTTAACAATTTCTCTTGAGGACCAAGACACAACTCCATCACCGAGTAAAAACACATTGACTTGCGTGATTTGATCAGAGATAGTTATTGAGCTGAAGCATTGTGTCACACAAAAACAAGTTGCAGATATTATGACAAAACCACTGAAGCTGGATGCGTTCATAAAACTGCGTGAGTCTGTGTGTAGTACCACGAGTAAACTGAAAGCATTTCAGCTATCAGTTTAGGAGAGAAATTGTTAAAGATGATCGTATTAGACCATTTCTTTAGGAATGTTAGGACCACTAAATCATTTAATGGGTGGTAATTTATTATTTTTAGAGTATGCTAATTTCATCGTTTACTAATTTCATCTGTTTGTAAGGTCTAAAAGCCACAAGTTGTTTTGTTTTTCAATGCAATTGATTTCAGAGTTTTATTTTGAGTGCTAATAGTAAAAAAGTCTCATATAATCGAGCATCACAGATGATTCAAAACCAATCACCACACCAAATACTAAAGCAGCTTCATGTAAACAAACTACTGTATTCAATCAAGGAAATACCAAACACCCATTACAAGTCATGGTCAAACAACTACTTGACTTCAGAAACCAAACAAAGGTTCTATCATCCAAAAGAACTTTACATGCAAACCATATGTCTTTTGGAAACAAGGAACAGAGATAAATGCAAGCAATTAACTTTGAAAAATCCATTCTGCAGTAGAATAGGTTGGCTATGCAAGAAATTTGTAACCGCTCAAACCCATCGCTAGCAGATATTGTTTGTTTTGGCCTGTTATGTATCGCCGTCAACCTCACGGTTTTAAACCGCGTCTACTAGGGAGAGGTTTCCACACTCCTATGAGAAATGCTTCATTCTCCTCTCCAACCGATGTGAAATCTCATAATCCACCCTCTTGGGGGCCAGCGTCCTCGCTGGCACACCACCCCAAGCTCACTGCTAGCAGATATTATCTGCTTTGGCCTGTTACGTATCGCATCAGCCTCACGATTTTAAAACACGTCTACTAGGGAGAGGTTTCCACACTTTTAAAAGGAATGTTTCGTTCTCATCTCCAACCAATGTGGGGATCTCACAATCCACCCCCTCGCTGACACACTGCCCGGTGTCTAGCTTTGATACCCTTTGTAACAGCCCTATTTACAACGTGCAAGTAAAGAAAACAAGAAAAGCTATAACAACTTGCCTCGAGCAATGCACGGATAGCAAGCTTCACAGTTTCTTGCCCAGAAGTCTCCTTGTAGTTCTTCTCAAGAAATTCCCTAATCGAATTTGAATTTCTCCCGGTTGCACTGGCTTTCCAAGAGGAAAAAGTCCCAGAAGGATCTGTCTGATACAATGATGGAGCACCAGTGTAAGGATCAAACCCAATAATCAAAGTGGAAAGCCCAAATGGCCTTACTCCACCACTCTGTGTGTACTTCTGCTGAAGCCCTGCAATGTATCGCGTTATATACTCAACAGTCACTGGATCCTCAACTGTAAGCCTATGGCTTTGACACTCAACACGAGCCCTGTTTATCAGAACTCGTGCATCTGCCTTGAGTCCAGCACAAGCAAGTGCAATATGATCATCAAGATTCACAATTTTCCGAACCGATCTGCAAACAGTAAATCAGATATGAAACAAATAGAAACAACAATCGCCATTTCAATAACCCTAAAATTCGACCATTAACAAGAAACTTCCAACCCAAAAATTAGGTCAAATCAAATCAAATCAAATCAAACTCGATACGAGGTTCTGACAGTAACTCAATATCCTGATTCTAACAATCTAGAAGTAGGATGAATTCGTTAAAGAGGAAAAGAAATTGAGAGAGTGACCTAGAATCTTGGAGTTTGGGGGTGGATTTCTTCTCGACGCCAAGGACGACGGTGTCGGAACCGCGAACCCCGACGGCGGCGTTGCCCTTACGGACGGCCTCGAGAGCGTATTCTACTTGGAAGAGATGACCGTCCGGTGAGAATACCGTAATGGCTCTATCGTATCTCGCCATTTTTCTTGTGTTTTAGCTCTGATTTTCTCTGCGAAGAAAGCTTGGAACTTGATGAACAAGTTGTTTAAGCTCTCAGCTGCCCTTTTGGGTTTCTATGCATTCGGAAGAGATCTCACTTCCTTTTGCACTTTCTTTTTCTTTCTCAACAAGTTTATGTTGTTATATATATATTCCAAAGTGTTTTTTTTTTCTCTTTTTAATTTTTTTCCTCTAGATAAGGTTTGCCTTCGCCCGCAACACAATCCGTTCATGCGTGCATATTCAATTGTGTGTGACACAATCACGTCACATCTCATGACAGATGCCATGTCTCGGGACACATCGGTTATCTAGGCTCGCTCGGACACATCCGTAGGGAACTGACCTATGTGTCGATCATCTCATCAAGACATCACGAACATCCATCCATTTGGGTTCTCTCAAACATCGGACTCTCCCATGTCCATGCGAAACCATTCATGGCATACATTCTAGATAACAGGTGCATAATCCAACCTTCGACACATGGGCTGGAACGCGATATCAGCACAACTGTACTGCCTGATACTGTCATTGAAAGACATTTTTTAAAGGAAGACACTCGTACTGTGCACCCACGTTGTGACACGCATGTGCCACAGAGCAGCTTGCTTAGGTCTGAGGACCGAGGGATGGTTAAATGATTACGAAGAGAAGAGCTCATTTCCCCTCTTATTCTTACTTTTACTTGCAGTGTTAGAACGTTCTTTACATCATAATACCTAACTTTGTTATCTCACTACTAATTACAAAAAGTGGGAAAACTTAAGCAGCCTTTCATCTGCCCTACAACAATATGTACAAAGCTCAATGGACACAAAGAACCTACCTACTTATGGCAGCAAATTTACACTCTTCAGCATTAAACCCGTCTCTTGAATATACACCCCGTTCCAACCCTTAAATGCCTTCTCGTCTCCTTTTTGTTCGGTTAAAAAGTGACCGTTTTGATTTGCAAAACCGAAAACATTAGCACGTAGTGTAGCTCGAGAATCGTAAGCAACGTTTCTTAGACTTTTCTCTGAGTGAGGGAGAGTATGGTGGATACCATCAGCTTATAGTCAATTGGCTTTGTTAGGTATGCATCCATTCCTACCTCCAAGCATTTGGCTTCATCTGACGACATTGCGTGGGCTGTCAATGCTACGATCGGTACATGAAGGCTCGTTCCTAATTCTAGCTTTCTAATCGCTTTTGTTGCTTCGTAGCCGTCCATCTTTGGCATCTGTTTCAAATATTAAGAAAGTTTTTACGCTTCGTAAGTACATATAGGATTTAGATCATAAGAAACTTTGCATCATGTTTCATTTTCAACTATCAAAGACGATGTGATTTGAAGTTAGCAGTTGGTTTGTGTACTAGCCCAAACCCACCGTTAGCAGATACGGTCCTCTTAGGCTTTCCCTTTCAGGTTTTCTCTCAAAGTTTTTAAAACGTGTCTGCTAGGGAGAGGTTTCCACACCCTTATAAGGAATGTTTCGTTCCCTTCTCCAACCGACGTGCGATCTCACAATAGACCCCCGAACGGTGTGCCAGGGAGGACGCTGGACCCTGAAGGGGTGTGGATCGTGAGATCCCACATCGATTTGAGAGAACGAGTGCCAACGAGGACACTCGGTCCTGGGGGGGAGGGAGGGGGGTGGATTGTGATATCCCACACCGGTTGGAGAGAGGAATGAAACATTCCTTGGTGTGGAAACCTCTCCCTAGCAAACGCATTTTAAAAACCTTGAGGGGAAGCCCGAGAGAGAAAGCTCAAAGACGACAATATCTGTTAGCAGTGAGTTTGGACTCTTATAGTTCGGGAGTGATTTAGGTTCATTATGAAAGCAACTCTAAAGTGCAAAGAAAGCATCATCTCAATTTTGGCTCATGGAGTGTAACGTTAAGTTGGCACTTACTTGGCAATCCATCAAGACCAAATCATATCTCGTGGGGCATTCTCTTCTTTGCTCTTCAGCACTAAGCATTGCAGTCAGAGCTTCAACAGCCAGCAGCCCATCTCCGACAGGGATCACCGTGGCTCCCATTCTTTCGAGCATTATCGTCGTTACTCTTTGAAGAACCGGTGTATCTTCTGCAAGCAAAATGCGTAGCCCTTCAAGAGATTTCTTACCGTGAACATTCTTAGAATCTGATTCTTCTTGGCTTTTAGGATAGTTTCCTCCTAAGTTCAGTCCATTGGATGAGTCTTGTCTCATGTCACATGAACCACCGGTCCTTGCGTTACTCGCAGTCGAACGTACATGAGTTAACTCAACTAAGCTATCGTTAAGGGACAAAAATGGCGGCTGACAAGGTTTTGGCATTGTTTCTTCTTGAAATGTTGCACACTGAGACTTGGACTTGTCAAGTTCAGCTAAATCAGAATCATCAGAGCTAGCAGTTTCAAACTGAGTTGAATCAATTTCAAGGCATTCATGAAAATCCCCTTCTTTTGATGCATTTCTTAAACCATTTTTCCTCTGAATCTCAAGATTTCTGTCCTTCATAACAGCTTCCAAAATATGAATCATTTTTGCCCTATACAGCGGCTTATTGTTCACTATAAAGTGTCCTTTTCCCCGAAGCTCTGTCTTCATGGCGTTGGACGTATCGTGGTTTAACATCCACGCAAACTTCACTTTTCCAGAGTACTTGTCAAGGAAGTAAAGTTGATCCTTCCAAATATCTGTGCTCAAGTCCAGTATCCCGATATCGGCAACGACGATGAACATTTGGCTTTTCATGTCCTTAATTCTCGTTAACTCGGCTCGTAATGGTTCACCGAGGGAATCCTGTGGACTAAATCCCTTTTTGTTTTCAAACTTTCTCGCTTGAAAGAGTTCTTGAAGGATTAGAGTTAGTTCATTCCATTCTGAAGCCTCTAAAGTGAACAGTCCGATCTTACGAAGCCACTGCGACGTGATTAATCGACTCGTGCTGCCACGGAGTGCAAGAAGTACCTGCGTTTGCACACAAAAACATCGATATTAACGAGCTCGGGACTTCTGTCTTAAGAAATGAGCCATGTCTGAAAACAAACTCAAGGATTCATTTCTTCACTTACCACTGCATTATGTTTTGCGAAATCAAACTGAGAGTGATGATCTATGGAGTCTACAGGTGTGCTGAGAACCAAATAAAGTCTCATTAGCGTTCCCGGGCCGTTTTTCTTTACAACCTTGATTTCACCGCCCATCTTGTTAACCTGTTATTAGCCTCGGTTAATGAGATGCTTATAGAAACACTATAAGCTTCGAGCGGGGGGTGGTGGTGGGAAAGGATCGGTCGAACTTACCAAGGTACGAACGATGCATAGTCCAAGACCCGTGCCACCGTGCCTGAAAAGTGTAACATATCTTTATACTAGATATTGAGCTATGAAAACTGTTGACAGCATGTTTAACTGTTTTAATTACTTACGTTCGGGTTGTCGAGGGATCTGCTTGCTCAAAGCTTTCAAAAACAGACTCCCATTTGCTAGGATCGATCCCTGCAACGAGCGGAGAAAACAGTACTTCTTAGCATCTAGAAAGCGAAGGAAATTATCAAGTGTTCTTCTGGTTGGCTTTTGACATACCACAGCCAGTGTCATCAAGTTCAAACCATAAGGTCATTTTGTTATCTTTCTTGAACGCGTTCTTCATGTGGTCTCCGTGTTGTTTCATCTTTGTCCGATTAGGAAACCGTGATTTCTTCTGATCCATACAAGACTTTCCCATTTCTTTGAGCGTATTCGACGTCTCGCACCACCCTCGAAGAATGATGTGACCAGCTGCAAAACATTCGAAACGGTTAATCAATTGTTTGATAAGCAACACTGGTGATAAACAAGATCACTTACTAGTAGTGAATTTGATAGAGTTGCTAATCAAGTTCGTGAATATTTGAACAACCCGACCGGAGTCTCCTCGAACTAATCTCGGCATATCATCTAAAACAATAGCATCGTATTAGAGCATTGCATAAATTGTAGTGTAATCAATTCGTGAACGGAAAACGTACCAGAGAGATCCAATACAGTTTCCACATTATGATCAATGCATTGCACGGAAAACATATCAACAAGCCCTTCGAGTTCTCGTCCCAGATCAAACTCTGCATCTTCCAAAACTAGCTTTCCAGATTCAACCTAAGTGATTATTCGAATGATAACAATTAGCCTATGATCTTTCACACCATAACCGAAAAAACAGAACAAAATTTCGTAGAACCAACGAAGCGAGCTCGTTATACCTTGCTTAGATCTAGAATGTTGTTAAGAAGTCGGAGTAGAGCTGTTGAGCATTTTCGAATCTGAGTGACTGTCGCAAACTGTTCGTTATTGAGACAGTCATCGCACATTAGAATGTCGAGCAGTCCAATTACCGCAGCCATCGGTGTCCTCAGCTCATGACTGCAACATCAATAAAGTATAAACTAACACTGTTCTTAACACACACGCCAAGTCGTTACGTTGTTCGTCCATCGTTTTAAATGAACGTACCTCATATTCGCTAGAAACTGACTCTTGTAATTACTAGATGCCTCTGCTCTTCTTCTTGCATCAAGATGGCTTATTAGTTCAGCTCTTAGTTTCATTTCCTTAGATACTCCTTTTGTCAGAATCAAAATGAATAGACATCCAACAACTAAGATGCACAAAGAGGCAGAAATGAGTATAACCAATGTTTTGTAAGCTCTCTCATCTACCTTTCCCATTATGTATTGCCTAGGAATGATGACAACCCCCACCTACAAAAACCGAAAGGATCTTGTTATGTTCGTAACGATTAGATAAAAAGAAAGTCGATGGATCGATGACGAAACTTACAATGGGAAGCTTCTTTAGATTAAGAAAAAACGAGTCGATGTAGTACTGCTGACCACCAAGCTTGACGTTCTCTTCATGGACCTCATGACCAGGAGGAAAGTTATTTCCATAGGTTTTGTTTAACCATTCGGCTCCTAATCGAATCACGTCATCTTGGGAATCGACAGCCATCATAAGCTTCCGACCCGTCGATGTATTTCTTAACAAGGGAGCATTGGCTGAAGTAGCAAGCAAGTAGCCCTCTTGAGAGGTTAGATAAATATGTCCACTATGGAACTCAACAAGCTCCTTCATAAG